AGTTCGTTTTAGCCGTACATCTTTTTAGTGTCAACTGGATGTTCGCTACAAGCGGATTACGATCCGAGCTTATATTTGCGCCAACTTGCAGACTTGATGCAATTTCTATAGCGTTTATTTATCAGCACAAAATCAATTTGGTTTCACAATTCTGTCCGACGTATGAGCGTTAAAAGTCCAGGTGTTAAGACATCTCGGTGGAAGTTGAAATAAAGTTTTTGAGACCACAAAACCCATTTCCTGACAACTTTCCGAGTTTTTATTTTATTCGATTGTTTGCTGGATGTATTCCTTATTGTATTATTTAATGTTATTCCGCATGTTTTTGGAAATCTCTTCGTTTACAGCTCTTATTTCTTGTGGTAGGTTCTATCAATGTTCTGGTGCAACAGGTTATTCTGTCTTTTCATGTTTTGGGCAGTTTTCACATGGTGATTTAAGTATTGCTTCATTTAGCTCATTAATGTAAGTATGCGATCTTTATGATATTTAGTGAGTGCTTTGGTTATCCTCGAATTTTGTTGAATTTCGGGGGTTCTGCCATTATATTTGTGACCTTTTCCTTTTGATATTTATGTTTACTAAAGCTCTTACCATCCTGCGATCACTGGCTATAGATACCTACCTGGTTAAGTTGTGACGTCGATAGCAGACGACAGTTGATTTATTGTAAATTATGATGAAATCTATTTCATTTTTTTTTTGCTATTAAGACTTACCCAAATCCATCTCTTATTTAGTGTTTTATGGAAGAAGCTGTTCATGGGGTATAGATTGTTCCCCAACAGGAAGCTTAAGAGAGTCTCGTTGGTTTCTACTTCCAAGTCCAAATTTACCAACTACTGTTTCCGATCCTTCGTCTTCATACCTATCTTCGCGTTGTATGGTGATATGAGTTTTTGATTTATGTAATGCAGATTTGATTTCGTCACAGAAAGTATCGACTGGTACTCTGGCTGGATATTCTTTTGATGACTTCAATATTCTGTTTATATTTTTTGTTTGCCTTACCTCGCATAGCCCTATGATGTCCCGAGTGATTTTCTTTAACTCCTCTTCCATCTTGAGTAACTTGTTTTCTAGACGAATCAGTAGGTAAGAGATTGTGGGTCGACCTAGACCGTACGCTCCAACAATGTCTTCTCTTTGAGCGCTTCCAGGTTTCAGCCACATAACATTAGTAATTTCTGACTTTTTTGTAAAGCTAGGGGCACTTTGAACTTGATCGTAGAATGCCTCTATGATATTATCTGGTAATCCATTAGTGGAATACTACCGTGATAACATAGGGGAGATGTGCCCGAGTTGGCATACATTTCGTAATTATTTTTTTTTCCATGTTATTTTTGGGATTTAAGGGTTAAAACTTGGTTTTTGAATAGGAAAATACCTAGTCTAACAATATCAAAAATTAATAAAACCCTAACTTTGTCTTTTAGTTAGATTTTTGTTTTTTAAAACTCACCTCAGTATGCCATCTCGGGCTGAAGATTCCGGGTAAGATGGCATAGTATGCCATCTTGCCCAAACTACCTCGGTATGCCATCTCAAACTGAACATTTCGGATGAGATGGCATCGCATGCCATCTTGCCCAAACTACCCAGTTACTTGAAGTAAATAACTATAATATGGGATTAAATTGTTAAATTAAATTTATTCAATAAAAAATATAAATGAAATGTAATTCTTGACTTGAGCTCATCAATACCTAAAACTAAAAATAACATGACGTAAAAGTAGGAAGTCGGGACAAGCTAAACGCAAAGCTCACAAAAATACTGTTTTGTTTTAAATGGGACACCTGTACATTCGCAGTGGGCCCATTTGTTACAAGACATGCAACGAATCCATTTTTCCTTTGCTTTGGAGCGAGAAAATAGTCCATTGCAAAAGATGCAGGCTGTATCATCTTCATCGTCACTGCTCTCTGTCTCTGATTGATCTTGCATGATAGTCGGTATCAAACTGCTTGCAATTGTAGCAGTTTTTCTCGGTGCAGGTTTACTTTTAGGATCAGTATCATGAAAAATTTTGGTTTTGACATTTTTTGCCTCCTTTCTTATTAACTCAGCATTTTTTTCAGCAGTTTTCATTTTTAAAAGTTCTATTTCGGGTGTTGTGTTCAAGACGCCATATTTAGAAGGGGTTTTCCGTTTTCTTTTGTTGCTCGTATCAGTAGCTTTTGGTAAAGGTGAAATTTCTGAGGGTAGGACTAAGCAAGATGTTGCTGGTAATTTATTTGTTTCTTTATTTTTTTTTTTCTGCAATATTTCATTTTGTATGCCAGATGGTCCGGCTACCTGCGAATTATCTTCTATAATGAAATTCTCATCTCTTTGATATTCATTGCTTTTTTCTTCTGTCGTTTTTCCTCCATTATTCGGCTCTTCAATATCCTGATTGTTCTCAAAGTTGGTGGTTTCTGCAGGCTCAAACATCCAATCTGGAAAAATATCTTTATTGAAAGGGTATATACCCGTTTTAAAAAAACCCTTTCTCAGCGTTGTTCATAGTAGCTGCTTTCTGGTAGGCAGATTTAAAGATCTTTCCTACTTGAAAATGGGTGACCACTCTTCCAGGGTTCTGTTTCAACCAACTATTTATTTCTTGATTGTAGTAGTTCGAAAGTGGCCCAAAGAATGTGACATCTAATGGCTGTACCCTATGGGTACGGTGCGGTGGTAGACAAAATAAGACAATGCCTTTACTTTTTGCATAAACCTGGGCTTCTAACGATTTCTGGCTCATATGCCCATCTAGAACCAGCAACACTTTTTCGGATTCTGTAGGTTTTCCAGTTTCAGCAAAAAATTTAAACCACTTCAAAAAAATTTCGGAAGTTGCCCATCCGTTCTCCTGAGCAAAACCAATTGAACCAGGAGGAGAATCGTCCATCAATTCATGTTTCATGTTTTTGCGCGGAAATATAAAACACGGCGGTAAATAAGACCCGGAAGCACTCATTGCACAATTAACTGCTGTCCTCGTTCCGCGCTACTTAATACCCCCACTTGTTTTTTTCCTTTGGTTGCATAAACCTTACAATTTTTTGAAGCAACTGTACTAAGGCCACTTTCATCCATATTCCAAATTTTTGTCGGATTATAATTAACTTGCTCCAGAGCTCTTTCCAACTGTTCAAAATATTTTCCTATTTGCACTCTATTAAACGCCCTGGCTCTGGCAGAAGAGGTTGACTCAGGTAACCTGAGTGAAATAGTCGGATTACGCTTCGTAAATCCCTTTAACCAATCCCAGCCGCCATCTTCCTTTGTGAATTAAATGAGTGTTTGATGTTGTTCTGGACCGCCAGGTCATACGCAAGTTTGCGGACCTCTAAAGTCGTAAATCCAAAGAACCTAGCTTCCATGTTTTTAATATGTTCAACGAGGTGGCTTTCCAGATTATCGTCAAAGGTTGGTCTTTTCCCGCCCAAATAGTTTTTTTCTGCTCCTACGCTAAATTTATTCGATCCCTGACAGCGTCGTCGTAATGTGCCAAAAGGAACATTGTAGGTTTTGGATGCTAACAACCAGCCCATTCTTCCAGATTTAACAGCTCTTATTGCTTGCTTATTGCTGCGTTCATGTTATCTGCGTCCCATTGAAGACGATTACTCTTTCGTTGGTATTTCCCAACCATTTTAACTTAAATCTGCAACAAAAAACCAAATAATTAATTTTATTACGTAAGGGTGAGTTGGCATATTATGCCAACTTGCCCGAAACTTTAGTATGCCAACTCGCCCGAAAACACTTTTTTTCAGTGTTGTCAGAATATTTTTTCGCGTCGTACTAAACCAAACCCAAAAACGTACAAATCCTCTTGAAAGAGTACAAATTTCTTGTGTAGTGTTGGTTGGCCAACAATAACTTTAAGTAATGAAAATTTTGGCAGAATTCAGTTTCAGCAGACCTGCAGACCATAACCTTTAAATTTTATTAAAAAAAAAAAATTGTTCAAACCATGTTCAAACAGAACATCACAGTCCACAGACGGCCATTTGCACCGCTGTAACTTAAGGGATATTTAATCCAAGTGGAGCTTTGAATGTGACACTTGTAGAAACAAAAGTTACATTCAAAGCTTCACTTAGTTTAAATATCCCTTGAGTGATAGCCGTGCAAATGGCCAAGAGTCAGAGGGGTGCTAGGTTTATGTTAAAGTCTTAGGCTTAATCAAGAAGGACCTCTAGGGGCTAATAATTAAAATATTTAAGTAGGATTTTTAATTATTTATTTTAAAGTAATTAAAGATTTAAACTTCACAAAAACAAAAACAGAACAAACCAAAACTGCATCAACCTACACGAAGATTAGGAAGATATCCTATCAATGATCCTACTTATATACAACTTTTTTGTTGCAAAGGGCTTTCGTGGGTTTCCATGAATAACACACATTTGCTCCCAAATTTTCTTTTGAATGTAAAATATCATTTATTGTCTCTATTTCTAATCTATTCCTTAATTTTGTTTTTAATACAGTTACTGACGAAAACTTTCTTTCGGCAGCCGCTGATGAATGTGAAAGGGATAGTAAACCAATTATTAGCTTTTTGAGATTTGGAAATAATTTCTCATCCATTTCATTTTCAATTTTAAAAACTTTGCTCCAAAAAACTTCCACTGGCGTTTGATCAATATCTTTCAATTCAGATATATCAGAAAGAAGACGCCATTCATTATTAAGATTTTCGAAGTCATCGATTAAATTTGGAAAATATTTTTGGCAACCTGTTACAATACTATTGATATTACCTGATAAAGCTATCTGGGGATCTAAAACTGAACTAATAAATTTAAGGACAGGGTCTTCAAAATTGAATCTTTTTTTTATTTGTTGGCAAAGTTCAATGTAAAAATCAAGAGCGCGGAGTCTAAAATCATGAATTTCTTGTTGTGAATTGCAGGGATTACTAAGCAGCAATTCTGTTTTTGCTCCAAAATATATATTTTCTAAAGGCAACATATTTCTGGGATCACTTGGATCTATATTATTTAATCCGTGGCTATCAATAACTGTTTAACATAGTTTCTTAATATTGATCTATATAAATCGCTAGTTCTTTTTAAGAGAAGGTGTAGTTTTGGTTTTTCTGCTTGAAATTCTAAATTTAATTTATTAACTTGCTCTAATACATAGGATAAAAAAGTTATATAAACCTTGAAAATAGGATTTTCGAGGGATTCCATAAGATCTTTGGCAGCTTGGAGTTCTTCTTCCAAGTATTCACTCTGAAAAAACAATCTAAGGGCTTCCCAATTCTCCAAAACTCGGTCAATAGCAGCCTAAAATATTATTATGTGTTATTTAAAATTTTCTTTAATTTAAAATTTACCTGTAAGGACAACCAGCGAGTTTGTGACGGATGAAGCATTTTGTGCGGCTTTAGTTCCATAAACTTCTGAAATTCCTCTAGTTTTTCTAGTCTTTTACTGCTGTGTGAGAAATATGCAAATATTGATCTGATTATGGGGTAGTAATCTTTGGGTAGCTTTTTTGCAGCTGCCGAAGAGCAGAGGTGGAATCAATGGCACACACAGCCCAGTACAAAAATATTAGGTAGAATTGATTTAAAACGTGCTTGCAATCCTGTAATATTTCCCATCATCACAGATGCGTTATCGGCCGCCAATCCAAGCATCATATTTATAGGAATATCTAATTTTTTAAGTAATCACATATGGCTTCAAATAAACTTTTTCGTCGGACTGAAGTACCCTAATTAGACCCAAAAAAGCATCACTACATTTATTTCCAGCTACATCAAAATATCTGGCAACAATAACCAATTATTTTTTTTGAGAAATGTCTGTATAGGTTTTTTACGTTATATTTAGGATGACGTCAGAGAACAAGGACTGACAATGTTGTCAATGCCTATTTGTTTTCTTATAATTTACCAGAATGTCATAATAGATTGTCAAGACCACTAACAGCTAAAAATAATGAAATGAATCGACACGCGTTATTTATTTGAAAATGTTCATTCAAATCATGCAACATAGCGCGCCGTTGCCAACCAGAAATATCTGAAATTCCCCTACTTTAAATGCGTTAAGAAGTACTTTTAGTTTTGTTAGATTGCAGCAGGAATTCACTAAATGTGACGTCATCCTAAATATAGCATGAAAATACTATAGTTTCGTCTATAATTAACGAAAACTGTTGTTTTTGGAGTACTTGGGAAATATTGTGTAATTGTTCTTCTGCAATACAATGGGTAAGGTTTGTGGTTTTAGTTCTGGCACATTTTAGAGCTTTTGCTATTTTCGAATCAAAGTGAGTTTCAGTTCAGCTGCCCGTACATTTTCTATCTCGTCACTTTTTGCGCAATAATTATCAATTTTTGGCGTTAGCTTTGCCTTTTCAACATTTTTTTTATGTGATATAGTTTTGCTCTGCCGCTCTAAATGTTTAAAACCGCTGGTAATAAATTTATAACATGGTTTACAAAAAGTCTTGGAATCCTTATGTACTAGCCAAGGATATATTTTAGTCCACTCTTGTTTAAATTTACGATTGTATATTTTCCTTTTTTTTACCATATGTGTTTCTGAATCCATCATTGTAACTTCTGCTGATTTAGTTCTAGAGTGATGAGATTCTTCCTCAGAATCAGATGATGAGAAACTTATATATTCGGTTCTTGTATTAGCAGTCGTATCCTTGCTGGTACTGCTAATACCACTAGTACCTGCTTCAGCCTCTGGGCCTTCTGGTAAATCCGATGAAGCAGCTTTTTTGTGTTTCAAAAACCTAAAAAAAATATAACATGAACAAAACATAGCACAAAAACCAGTAAAACAACTCCTTACCTGTCCATGTTGATTCGTTTAGTGTGTAAGACGCAGGATCATAATAATAATAATTAACCGAGTAATTAGCATAAGAAAGCAAATCAGGTGAATACCCTGAGGCGTGATTCGTGAAGTCAATAGTTGGCTATTAATTCTTCTTTTTTAAGCCAGTCACATCTTGAAGTTAGTTAGGTGTTTTCGGAACTCACAACCTACTCCGAACAGTTCGAATTCTGCGGACTCCATTCGTACTCTAATTTGTTTTTTTCTATAGAAGAATAAACACAAAGAGTGCAAAGAGTGCCGCATTCTCCTATTTCAGGACTTATTTTAGATCAGTTGGAATCGTACAAATTTTTGATCCAGCGTACATCCGTACAAGACTGGGCGAAAAAGTACAAAATTTGTACAATTGTACAACTCTGGCAGCACTGCTTGTTTTAAAATAAGATCGATTTACTCACAACCACAATAAAACATAGCAACGGTTATACCCAATGAACTATAGCCAAAAGCTGGAATGCGCACACATTGCCATATCTGCCAAAAAAATGTAACCATGAAAGACAGATGCCACAAAGGGGAAGGTTGTTTTTTTCTGTTGCTCGCTGACATATGACGTTTTGGAAAGTTTTGTCTTTGTTTTACCTTCACAGGTTCCATCAATTGGAATACGTGTTGGAAGCAATTTCCGCCATTTAACATAATGAGTGCGACAAAAACAGGTATCCCCTCCGCAGCAGCGGCACTAGGCTTCACGTTCGTCAATATGTGTTCGCATTCCAGTTTTTGGTTATAGTTATTCATTAGTTATACCCTAGAATTTTAAGGTTAGGATTACAAAATCGATTCCCGTTTTTAAAATTTCAAAAAATATTAGGAGTTTTATATTTTGTAGCAAATTATAAGAGGAAATTAAATATTTCTTACCTTGAAAAAAACAATTTTGGAATTACCGTCTTTGTTTATGACCGGAGGACACCACGAACACATTTGACGGCTTGTATACAATGGGTTTACAAAAGGAGAAGGTTAGTTGCGCCACAAACTTTTTAGAAGCCAAGAAAATACCAGTATGCCAACTCGTCCGGTATGCCAACTCAGGCACATTTCCCCTACACTTGGATAATATTAACGTTGAACGGTCCAAAGTTTATCTGAAGGAATATGACTCGATCTGATATTATATTAATAACAAAAGAGATTGAAGATTGAGTCTCTTTACTAGAATGACTGTTACGCAGAGCAGTTTCAATTGTTTTAATCGCCATTGCTTGCACAATATATATCTTGGTCGTCTTTCTGACATTCACCTGAGTTATCTTACTTCTTACTTCGCTGACTCTAAAGTTTCAATGTCTAATTTTTTCATCAAGCGTCATTACTGATGCTTTATTAAAAGGCTAATTAACAACAACAAGCGATAATGGAATTTAAATTATGAATATGCCAAAACTACTAACTAATAAGAATAATAATCCCTATTTTAATCGGAGATGTTTTTACAACTTCAAGAAACTTTCTGCTGATTGCTGGTCATTTCAAATTTACATAATAATTGACGTTGTTTTTGCTGGCATAAAATCTCTGTATTAAGTTAAGTACATCAAACGAAATTTACTCCCTGAATACATCCAACAGCTTGCCTTGCATTCAGTAGATTCTATTGCTACTTTGACAAATTTGTGTCGAAACCTAGAAGAAGCTGTCTACCTTACCTCCAAAAGGTCATATAGCTTTCATATTTTTTATTTGGATAATTATTCTAATACAGATTTAGTTCGAAATTCTCGGTCTGGCTTCACCAATCATAATCAGTCAAATAAAAATTCTAATTTTCAAAAAAAATCAAATCATAGCCAAAGGCAAAACGTGAACTTTGCCAAGCTAGTGGTTCCAACTCTGGTTCAAACTCTACCTCCAAACCTAAACCAGCAGTTCCTTCGGAACAGGGTGGCAATGGGAAAGCTCAAATAGTTTGTTTCAATTGTCGGTTGCCCAACCAAACGTAAGACGTTTTGCTTCCGTTGTGGTGAACCAAATGTTAGGATATCGAACTGTTCTAAGTGTTCAAAAAATTAGATTCTTCAGTGCCTATTCGTGGTCGTGACTGTTTCCTAAATTGGCCCCCAATAAATCAAGTTATTTCAATCAGGATGAGTGGAATAAATGGAGTTCCTTTATCTTTAATTTTCATAAAACATCTATTCAGCCAGCTGAGGCTCTACCTCTATTTCTTGACAAGTTACCTGATAATAGGCCCTATATTTCTGTCCGAATTTTTGACTATCAGAATGATGCCTTGCTTGATTCAGGTGCTACCAATTCTGTTATAGGGGCTGAAGGGTTAGAGATTTTAAATTTTCTCAAAATTAAAGTATTTCCTATAACTGATAGGCAAATTTTAACTGCTGATGGCGTACAACATATGAGCGATGTTGTTGATTTACCAATTTTTACTAATAATTCATATCAAGTTATTCAAGCTCTGGTTGTTCTGTAAAACAGTATTTTATCTTTGGTAGTGATTTTGCCAGAAAGTTTAATTTGATTTTGAATTTTAGTAACAATAGCTGGGAAATACCGATTTCTATGTCTGAAGCCCGTAATAATTTAAATAATTCTTCATTTTCTTTTAGTAAACTTTTTTCTTAACATGATCTCTCTCCTCCTGACACTTTAAGGGCTCAACGTGTAATCGATTCTTTCAAAAAAATAGATAGTAATGACAGAATTGGCAGAACTGATAAAATTAAGTTAACAATAGATACTGGTGACCATAAACCATTCAAGCGAAGGCCACGTTTTCTTTCTCCGTATATGCAGGACGTCCTGAATAAAGAATTAGATTCCATGTTGGAGCTTGGTGTTATAAGTGAATCAGAAAGTCCTTGGAGCTCTCCGGTTCTTCTTGTTAAGAAGGTTTATGGAGAATACAGATTCTGTTTTGATGGTCGTTTTCTTAATGATATTAGTAAACACGATTCTTATCCATTACCTCATGTTGATAGGATTCTGAATAACTTGCGTAATGCCAAGTTTATTTCTGCCCTCGATCTTAGAAAAAGTTTCTGGCAAATCGCTCTAGACGAGTCTTCAAAAGAGAAGACAGCGTTCTCAATTATTGGCAGGGGACATCTTCATTTTAATATTGTACCTTTCGGTTTGTGCAATGCTGCACAAACTCAGCAAAGACTGGTTGATGCTATCTTTGGTCCAAAATACGAACCTTATATTTTCTTTTACCCTGATGACATTTTGATATGTTCCCATATACCTTGGATCATCATCTAGACTTACTAGAAACTGTCAAAAATCTTCTAGAACAAGCTGGTCTCACGATTAATTTGGAAAAATGTAATTTCTTCCAAACATTCCTTAAGTATCTTGGTTTCATTGTTGGTAACAATTCGTTAGCTACTGATGCGTCAAAAGTTGAAAGTATGGTTAATTATCCCCGACCTCAAAATACTACAGAGGTTAAACGTTTCATAGGTATGTGCTCATGGTACAGAAGATTCATTGAGGACTTTTTCTCTCTTGTCAGTCCGATTAATTCACTTGTAAAGGGTAGAAAGAAAAAACAGCTATTTGCTGGAATGAGGAGGCTGAGAAAGCTTTTATCACCATTAAAGGGAAACTCGTTTCCGCACCAGTTCTTTCTCAACCTGATTTCTCGCAAGAATTTGTTGTTCAAGCAGACGCTTCTGACGTAGGTTCAGGGGGTGTGCTGACACAAAATGTGGACGGTGAGGAAAGTGTAATTGCTTATGCTAACCGAGCTTTGACTCGAGCTGAGCGTAACTACTTTGTCACTGAGCGTGAATGTTTGGCAGTGATTTTCTGTATAGAAAAATTTAGACCTTGGATTGAAGGGGTTCGGTTCACGGTAATCACAGACCATTAAAGTCTTCTCTGGTTAAAAAATTTGAGGAATCCAGCTGGGAAACTTGCTCCTTGGCTTATAAAACTTAGACAGCATACCTTTGAATTGGTACACCGAAAAGGTGCCCTAAATGTTGTGCCAGGCGCTCTCAGTCGTATTCCTCATTCTTCACTCGATTCTGATGTTCAAGTCCAAGACGATTGTAAACCATCTACATCTGGTAATGTACCTCGAATTTCTGTTTTATTTTTCGATCTTTCTGAAGCCGATTCCTGGTATATTTCTTTGCGTTCTAAAATTCTTGAATCTCCAGAAAAATTCCCTCAATGGAAAGTGGAGAATCTTATGGTTTATAAATTCATTCCTTCTAAATCTTACTATACTTTCAATAATCGTGAATGGAAAATTTTGGTACCTAAAAGTCATCGTAATAAAGCCCTAGATCATAATCCACGTACCTACCGCTGCCCATTTCAGTTATCGTAAAACTCTATATCGTGTTCAAGAGTCATATTACTGGCCTCATATGCGTTCCAACGTTTTAGGTTTTGTCAAGAAATGTTTGGCCTGTGGAGCACAGAAGCATTCCAATCGTGCTAAGCCAGGTTTCATGGGTAAAAAAAAGGTAGCGGAGCGCCCTTTTCAGATAATTGCTCTGGATCTCATTGGTCCATTTCCTTGTAGCAGAAAGAGTAACAAGTGGCTTCTAGTAATTTCAGACTGGTTCTCAAAATTCACTCTAATTTTTCCTCTCAAGAATTCTAAGTCACCAGCAATTATTAAGTATCTTAAGGACGAAGTTTTTCTCAACTATGGAGTGCCTGAATATCTCATCTGCGACAATGGTCCAAATCTTGTTAGTAATTCTTTCAAGCAGGTTTGTAAAGATTTCAACGTTAAACAATGGTATACCCCTGTTTATTCACCTCAATGTAATTTTGTTGAAAGAAGAAACAAGACAATTGGTACTGCCATTCGGTGTTATATCGAGAAACACAAAGACTGGGATATCCACATTGCTGAAATTAGACAAGCAATTAATACCTCTGTCCACGAAGTTACTGGTTTTCCTCCTTGTTATTTGAATTTTGCCAGATATGTTCCTCTTTCTGGAAATTTTTATTCTGAGTGTCCGCTTGATGAAAAAGTAGAATTGCTTCCTGGTGATAGAGACAGTTATGGGCGTCACACCGAGTGCACACCAGCCATGAATTGATTTCGAACGCACTCTTGAGTTTCAAAGTTGGAGATAGAGTTTGGCGTCCTAATAAAGTTCAGTCTAGTGCAGCGAACAAGTTTGTAGCTAAGTTAAGCCCTAAGCATATTCTTAGTGTAGTTGTAAAGAAAGTTTTCCCTGTGGTCTATGAACTAAAAAACATAGATGGTTCAAGGGCAGGCAAATTGCATTTGAAAGATTTGTTACCGTGCAATGATATTGTTTCTGAAAATTCAGACGCTGATTCATCATCTGATGGTTCTGAAGAGGCCTAAATCTCCAAATCAATTTAACTCTTACTTTGATTTCCTATTAATACCACATTTCTCATTATCTCTACTGAACTGCCTTCTGCTATTGAATTCTTGTGCCCTCTTTTCAAATTTCCTCTGTCTTAGGCATGACTCCCTCTCGCAACGCAGAAGTAGGCATAGCTTTAAAGTGCGTTAAAGTTGCAAGGTATATGTTATAAAGTTTCCATATTGAAAAGCCTTGTCGTGGCTATAAATACCATTCGTTTTTTTCGTTTTTATTATTGTAGGATTGGTAATTCCATATACCTATGTTCACCTAGTTTACCGTTTACCTAATTTATAGTACCTTTGTTAGTTTTAATCAAGTACCAGTGTGTTGATGGGTACCAGTTGTTAAATTGTTATGTCAGAGTGAGTGACGAATAAAAATAAGTCTGTCATGAAAGTGCTAGAACTGTGTTGTTTCATTCACCCCTAGACAACTACAAAACCCTACATTTTGGGGGCCTGTCCGGGATAGAAGGAGCATAAATTACGACGATAGTGATCAATAAAGCTCGATAAAACCGAAGTAGTGAATCAAGCAGTGATGGTTGCTTGTAAATGATGTCAGCCTGGATGTTCCTATTGCTGCTATAACGACGAAACGACGTGGAAGAAGTGCTGCAATATTGGGCGTGACATATAGTCCTGTGAGAGTGCTTTTCACTAAGGTATTTATCAAATATTGATTC